GGTAGGTATGCCAGGGGGGTAAACTGACTTGTTCAAGGTCGTATGGTAAGCTCTTGGCGAGAGGGAGGCTCTTTCTTCGTGGCGTCAAAGTACATGCCAAACTCCATTACACTGCAGATTTATTTGTAATAGTTGTGAAATAAAGTTTTTCAAGAAATAGAGGGTTTTTTTTTTTTCCGGTGACATTTGATTAAGTTAGCACAGATTTGAGTTTCACCTTAACCGAGCACACGTCTATAAAATTAGCAAAAGCATCTCTGTAGACATTTGTATTTGACTGACAGCAAAAATTGAGGCTGTGCAGGTGAAATTTCTTTTGCAATTGTAGCAATCTGTCTTAATTGTATTTTAAGAAACTATGAAATGACATATAGTAAAAAATATCCTCTGAATGGTGCAGAATATTCAGCTGTGCATGTAATATGGAACAAATGTGTTCCCATATGTTTGGTATTTGCAGAATTATTAAAATACTAGAGATGTGCCTTAATGGGCTCATAAATGATCTGACAGATTTCCTGTAGTCTTGGGACAGTATGTTGTACTTAAAGGGACAGAAATGTGAGTCAGACAGACTCGAGTTGGGCTACTGGGGGTCTCATTTTCTGGTTTTGATGAGCTGTCTACACTCCAGTTCAAAGTCAGCGGCTGTCCGTCAGACACAGGTCTTCCTCCATCTTGTCCACCTAGCTCTGCGGCTGTATGTAGCAGGTCCCTCTCTTTTGACCCGCATCTGCGGTCGTTTCCTCTCGCTGGACAATCCCCAGTGACACTCAGATATCCTGATGTTCCCGTCTCCTTTCAAATAACTCCCCCACCCACCCCTACTTCCCCGTCACCGGCCACTCCATTTTGTTTTTACTTTTGGCTGTCTGCTTATTAAGTTGCTTCCCTTTGAAAGAACATTCTTCAAAAGAGTTTCATGTTCTTTCTGGTTCCTTTTTTTTTTTTCTCCTGCTTTCTTAAACACTTCAGACACCCACCCCCACCCCCCCTCAGCTTCCTCAATCAAAATGCATGGGTAGTATTTTATCAATGGCTTCCATGTTGCTTCATTCCATGGTTGATTCTCAGTCTTTAACATAATCTGGCCCAGACCCCTTCTTCTTCCTCCTCCCCCTCCTCTTCTTCTTCTTCTTCTTCTTTTTTTTTTAAGTTTTTCAAGACAAGGTTTCTCTGTGTAGCTTTAGGAGCCTATCCTGGAACTCGCTCTGTAGACCAGGCTGGCCTCAAACTCACAGAGATCCACCTGCCTCTGCCTCCCGGGTGCTGGAATTAAATGCGTGTGCTGCCGCTGCCACCACCACCACTACCATCTGGTGGAACCCCTTCTTCTTAACTTGCCATGGTGTCACTGTGTAAATCCATGACAGCACTGTGATCCACCTGCCTCAGACTCCCAAGTGCTAGGCAGGATTTATAGTCGTGCAAAACCACACTCTGCTCTTAGCGTTGGTTATTCTTGCTTTTTCCTACTCCCTTGTCTACTGGTACAGCTCCTGCATACATTCTCATCTTCTGTGGGACCTGAACTCTACACTGTATGGTGTTCAGTACTTTGTTAGTTTTCCTACTTAGAATCCCTGGGTGACCCTTCTTATTTAGAATCCAATGTATTTATGGAAGGTGATCCTATTTTCATTTTCAGACCCAACCACACAGAGTGTGGCTTCTAGTGTGCCCCACACACTCATCTCATTTGGCACAACCAGTCATTTGTTCAGGTCCAAATCTTGGAGTTGAGTGTGAGTCTCAAGTCGCACTACAGCTGTAAGTCTTCTGACTCGGGGTTCAGCCTGCCCAGGTCCAGACTCTTGAATGCTGATCAATGCATTTTTGTTATCATCCTTTGGTGGCTTATAAGGGTAACTCTTCATTGGTATTTCTTTACCGTTTGTTGTTTGTTTGTTTTTTGAGACAGGGTTTCTCTGCATAGTTTTATGCCTGTCCTGGATCTCACTCTGTAGTCCAGGCTGGCCTTGAACTCACAGGGATCCACCTGACTCTGCCTCCTGAGTGCTGGGATTAAAGGCATACACCACCACCACCCAGCTTATTTTATTCTTTGTAAAATGTTTCTACCTTTTGTCACCCTACAGCAATCACAGTGGTTTTATTTATTTAAAGGAGCCTGTTTAATGAATTAAGATGTTTATTCTGAGACACAGTTGCTTGTATCCCAGGCTGGCCTCAAACTTACTATCTAGTTAAGAATAGCCTTACATTTTGAGCCTTAAACTTGCTTCCAGCTCTTGAGCGCTGGGATTACAGGTGTGCACCGCCATGCCTGGTTTACTTGGTGCCCCGGATCAAACCCAAGGCTTTTTAGGTACATTAACAAGCATTCCACCATCAGCCCCCTACTTAATTGACTTCTGTTTCATTTTAATTCAAAATCTGTTCATATCCCTCTTAATGTGTCCTGTTCAGTCTTCAATGAATCTTGTTCCATGCACAGTAAAACTGGACTTTGAACTGAACTGCAATACCCTTGATTTTGCCTCCGCATTCTCTCTGATGCCATCTGCTGCTCCTATTTACTCTGGCTCTTTAAATAAAGATGATCCCTTCAGTATACCTTAGGGACTTGGCATCCTCTTTTCTCTGTAGCAGCATTTTCCCACAGAGGTCTAAGTGAACTACATTAATTCTATCCAGTCATTGGGGGGGAAATACCCGGGAGATACCCACTGATTACTGTGTTTAAAATACCAGCCTGTTTCCACCCATGCTGTAGTCTTGGAAGCCTCATGGTAAAGGCTAGGTCTGATGGTCTTTTCTGTAAACTCAGGGGAAGCCAGGGAATTTGATTCTCCCTGTAATTGTTTCCGAACACATGAACTCAAGATATGCATGTAGCATGTCCGTATTTCATCCAAGAGAATACAGCTGAAGATGTTAGGTAGCAGCCGAAGTATCACTATTGTTTAATTGCCGTGGTACGTCTTGGTGAGGGAAAGCCACTTTGGTAAAAGGATGAAGCTTTTCAGTGTCTCTGTAGCTAGGGGGTGGTCCTGCATAACCGTTCTCTGTCATTGCCTCGAGCATCCCAAGTACGCAGTGACTTGGGACATTAGAGACGGCTTAGAAGCTGAGATTCAGCTCATCTGTACCTGCTTTTTGCTGTCTGTCCTGAGTTTTTCTCTGAAGCTGGAGATAGTGTGGGTTCCATTCCAGACACCATATCAAAACTACTGTCACAGCAAAGAGAGTCACAAAGTCTTTAGTTGTCCTGTACTTACAACATTTATGTCTACTCTACTGTATAGCAGTAAGTGTGTAATAGCATTATATCTAAGTTAACAGTATGCACAGCTGAAGCAAAATGCTTTACTGGGGGCCCAGAGCTTAAGAACATTGGCTGCTCTTTCAGAAGACCCAGGTTCGATTCCCAGCACCCACAAACCGTCCATAACTCCAGTCCCACGGTGTCTGACACCCTTTGCTGGCCTCTGTGGGCATTGGGAATGTATGTGGTGCACAGATATACACGCAGAAAAAACACTCATACCCCTTAAATAAATTGTCAAGTTACTTCTTGCTAAAAATGCTGAGGACCACCAGAGGTGTTGGAAATTGGCACCGATAGATTCCATGGCCACGAGCTTGTCACAGACCTTCAGTGTGAAAGCCACAAGGGCTGTGACAGGCGACAGAGGGGAGCCCGATGAAATTGGGTGTGCCTGTCCCATACCCAGGTCTTTTGTTACCAAACCATGCCTATTTGTGATTTTAGGTTCAAAGGATCTCATTTTAATTGTTTTAGTACCCAACCCTTTCTCTAAGGATTCTTTTTCCTAAGTCCTCATAGCAGGCGATCTAACACAATTTCACTCCTGTTCATGGTTCATTTACCTAAGTTAAAGATGAGGTTTCTGGAGGAAGAGGTGTTTTGCCTTTTGTTTGGTGTATAATCCTAGTATGGCACATGATATATACTTAAGAAAGCACCCAATAAATATTTGCTGAAGGAATGAGAAATTTTCATTTCTCTCTCTCTCTCTCTCTCTCTCTCTCTCTCTCTCTCTCTCTCTCTCTCTCTCTCTCTCCAACTTTTATTCATTCCGTGCCAGGCATAGTGCCACAATGAAGACAGGGAACATCATCTGCCTCCATGCTTCCTAGGACCTACAATATGAACATTATTCTTGGGAGAGGTTGGCAGGTTGGCCCGGGACCAAGGTCCTTGGGGAGGCTTCTCAAATCTTATCAGGATAAAGGGCCTTGGAGAAATCATCTTCAGGGGGAGTCCCAACTCGGCATCAGCAATATAAAAGGAAGGCAAACTGCAGTAAATACCCACGAAGGAAAACTGCGATATCCAGGGGAAGTGCATGTGCCAGGTTTTTCCCCCCAACAAGAACCCCCCAGACAGATCATTTGTACAACTTGGTCTTTGCTATGGGCTCACGGAGATGGTCTAATGGGGAGTCTGTCCCCCACAGTGCTCAAAGCAGCCCTAAATATACTTAAGTGGGATTATTGCTAAAGTAGACCCCAAGAAGAAGAAGAAGAAGCTTTAATTCCATTTATGAGCCACTATAACCACCAAAACAGTATTATAGTGACAACTTCTAGCAAATGAAAATGGCCATGTGGTCCAGTGTGCCGGTGTGCAGAGATTTATGGGAAATTGCAATAGTTGAGTGCCTTTGAACATGTGGCAAAGCTGCAGAAGCAGGAAAGATTCTTACCGTGGGCACCTGTGTGTTTGTAGAATCTTAAAATGCCACACACGAACACCCACCGGTTCATAAAAGATGCAACGTTTTTAAATACTTTCACTTGCCTTTGCTTTATGTTGCTTATTTGCTCTGCAGCGGTCATGCTTTCTTTCCCGTCGCCTGCGAAAAAGTCCTTGTCTTTTCCCATCTAACCAGAGTCACATTGTCTCCCTCGGTTCCTTTGGAGCTGCCTGCCTTCTCCTTGTCTCCCCTCAAGATTAATTGAATAATTGCTGTCTTCTCTGTGTTCCCAAAACATTGATCATGGATTGAGGTGTTACGTATTTACCTGCCTCTGAGTTTCAAGGACATCTTCATCACCCTTGTTTCCCCAGCAACTGCTGCAGTCACTGTCTCCTGACGCTTGTTCAGTAAATGATTCCTGGATTAGAGAATTAGAAAAGATTTTGGTTTTTTTGGTCTGGGCCATGGATTCATCCAGCAAACACATATTGAGGGATTTTTGTATGCAAGGCACCGGTGTAAGTGTTTTGTCAATGCTTGAAAAAAGAAAGCAAGTCAGATGCTTAAGCTCTGAAAATTCTATGATATCTGGAAGGAAGAAAAACAAGCCCTGAATAAAAATAACTAATCCATGGTGGAAGGTGTTATTTTCTTAGAGGGGTGTGTGTGTGTCTGTGAAAGAGACAGAGAGAGGGGGGGAGAGAGAGAGAGAGAGAGGAAGGAAGGATAGGGGAAAGGGAGGGAGGGAGGGAAAGAGAGAGGGAGGGAGGGAGAGAGGAGGGAGGAAGGGAGAGAGAGGAGGAGGGAGGAGGAGGGAAGGAATCGGAGGGAGGAGGGGAGGAGGAAAGAAGAGGAGAGAGAGAGAGAGAGAGAGAGAGAATTTCCCACCAGAGTTCAGAAACATCTAACTATTGGCTAATGAAATGTTTTCCCTATAAAGCCACTAACAAACTGACTCCACACAACAATTGTCTTTCTGTCTTAACAATTCTCTTTCTGTCTTAGAAATGAGGTTAAATTCTGCCTTCGATCTAAAGACACACCGCTCAGCCTCACTGGGGCATGGTGTGCTAATGTAGAGGTCTAAAAGAAAGTCCCTCTCCAGGTTGTGTTCCCGCTTGCCAAACTGTCTACATTTAAAAGGAAAGTGGTTCCCTTCAGCCTTAGGGTATGAATTTCATGCATTCCTACTTTTTCCGAGGTCCCCCTAAGTGATAATTCCTCTGCATGTTGCTACAAGTTCACCCCTAATTGCTATTAGGAAATTGGCTGTAGAAAGCTTACAACAGAAGTGAACAGTGAAGCCATTGAAAGAATAATTCAATCAGGATTGTATCCAGGAGTATTTTGTTGTTGCTCTTTCTAAGCTTGGTGAGAGCATCTTGAATGCTTAGCATTTAATTGTATTTAAGCCATCAGATTTTTAAAAACGCGTTGGTATATTTGCATTCACCACATATGGTATAAGGTGGTTTAGTGGTTTGCATAATTATGGATTTTTTAACTGATGGGCTCCAAGAAATGTCTCTGTTTTTGTTTAGACTTGGATTATCACTTGCATTTATCTTCAACTGCTCCTGTTTAATCCTCTCGTCAAAACTAAGGAGATCTGCGGGAATCCTGTGACTGATAATGTAAAAGACATCACAAAATTGGTAAGTAAGGACAATTTGAGAAGCTATGACTCTTCCCGCTGCTTGCTGACCGTAGATTAGGGCACTCCTGCCCCGAGTACATAGTTTTCTAAGACAAGGACTGTATGAGTCTGAAAGGCTGCTACAGAGCAGATGAGAGATGTTTAGGCCATGGAGGATTTGTCTGTAAAACTGGCGCATTGAACACCAACATAATGACTTTGCTTCTTTTCGGGTCCTGGCCTCTCAGTCAAAGACAGTGGCTGGCTTTTCCCCATTATATGCTGAGTGGGTTTCTCTGTGTGGCTATGTCTGCCACATGCCTTCCTGATCTTGTAGGAAGCTTAGCCACAGGACACCTATGACCACTATGTTCCCCTACCAGCACAAAGATTGTCATGTGTGGCACGAGATTTGATCCCAGTGGATGTAGCAAGAGGTGCTTCTCCCACCCCCTACAAGCCACTCATCTCCATGCTTGTCACCCTGGAAGCCTTCCCTCAGCAAAAGCCATTCTGTACACACGTGGCTCGGCCACAGCCAGCTTCCTGCTTTGCTTCTCTGGATGAAGACTCGGGGTCAGCAAAGTACAACTGAGACTCACTAGGTCATACTCTCAGGATCTAGGAGAGAGGTTTTATACTTACTTAGATGACTGAAGATGATCTCAGCGTCATCAAAATTTGAGCTAGACATGGGGACATACACATACAATGACTCAAGAAACTGAGGCAGGAGCATGATGAGGTGGAGGACAGCCTAGTTCTCTATGATGACCTAAAGGGGAGGAAAAGCAAAATTGAGTGAAAATTCCTTAACTCTGGGGCTCTTGGCTATTTGAAAATTGACTAGAGAACATAGGTGATATAAGAATTGTACTAGGGAGAAAAGGAATAAAATATAAACTGTACTTACTGGTATTAGTATATGAAACAGAGACAGTTCCATCTTTAGGTACACAGTATAGGTTTATGGGTTGATGTGTGTGTGTGTGTGTGTGTGTGTGTGTGTGTGTGTGTGTGTGTGTGTGTATGTGTGTAGTGTTCATAATAGAACTTGAAAACAGGAGTTGATTTCTGTAGTTAGGGTTTGGCTCATTAGCCTCAGCGAAGAATTCGAAAACACACACACACACACCCCACACACACCACACACACACACCCCACACACACCACACACACACACACACACACACACACACACACACACACACACACACACACCACACACAGATTTATGCAGATTCCTCGGCGTGCCAAGACATTCCAGATTTAAAAGCATTCTTGCCTAGTGTGCACAAGGCCCCGAGTCTGTTCCCTAACACCGAGAGACATAAAATAGCTGACAGTGTGTGCACGTTTCACTTGAGGGGGTCTGGTGAGCAAAACAAGACAGCTATTGGCTCTCCCCCTCAGGCTTGAGTACCAGGTAGATGGGGGTGAGGAGGAAGTCCTTTTGGAAGCATAGATCATGGTCCTTTGCTTCGAGTTTCTGGGTAATTGGCGACCCAGGAAATAATATTAAAAGGATGCTATGTGTTTATATTCTAAGTTTTGTGTATATTAATGAAAGATGTTCATTTGATGGACCAGCCCCCACCCTGTGTGTTGGAACTGGGTGGGTGGGTGGGGGTGTGATAATGTGGTATTAAGGCCTTTGCTAAGAAAGTCCTTTATTGTTGAGTTACATGCATCACCAGCACAAAATTCAAGTATTTGGGAGACTTGTTGTTGGTGTGTGTGTGTGTGTGTGTGTGTGTGTGTCTGTCTGTCTGTCTTTCATTTTGTTTTGTTTCTTGAATTCGGATTTTCCTGTGTATGCCAGCCTGACCTCATCAAACTTGTGACCTTTTTATTCCATGCTGGGATGATAGGGACATGCCACCACACCAGGCTCATGGTCCTAGTTTTCTTTTCTGTTGCTGTGAATAACAGAAACAACTTTAGAGAGAGAGTTTATTTGGCTCCTAATTCCAAGTCACAGTCCATCATTGATGGGAGGTCAAGGTGGCAGGGACTTGAAGCACCTGCTTACATCACACCCACAGTCAGAAGAGATGAGTGAACGAATGCATGGATACTAACGCTCAGTTCATTTTCTCCATTCTAATATAATGGGCATTACATGCCCAGGGAATGGTGCCACCCACAGTGGGGAGGTCGTTCCACTCCAATTAGAGCAACCCAGATAAGCCCCCACAGATACACTCCCAAACCAACTTCATGCAGACAATCCCTCATGGAGACTCCCTTCCCAGGTAACTCTAGATTGTTGCAAGTTGACAGTGGAAAGTGACCCTCACACTCATCATGGTTCTGTGTTGTTGGGTGAATGGAGAAAGGGCAGGCTGCACTTTGATGCACATCATCACCATTGCTTGTGGTGCTTATGAAACACCGGGCCCTAGTCCAAGGAACTGATTCAGTAAGCCTGGGAAAGGGTCCAGGCACCTACATTTTTCATGAAGTTCTGTAAGGAGGTTTCAGAACAGTTTGCTTTAGATGGCCTATTCTGTCAAAAGTTTAGAGACAAAGTGCTCAGGATGTAGCTCAGGGCTAGAGAACTTCTATGTGTGAAGCCCCAGGTCCAACATCTAGTGCTGCAAAAAAGTAAATACATAATAATTTAAAACGGGTCAAGAGATCATTATTTTTGCTGTAATTCAGTCTCAATTATTATCTCCCAGCGATTCTATGTTATACAGATTTTAAGAATATCAGTTAATACAGAGCTCCAACGGATGCTTTAAAGTAGGTCACTGGAAAATAGCTTCCTGGAGATGCTACTTTATTGGTGGATGCTGAGAGTAAGTTTGGGGAGCTGCAGATTTCAAATAGGTGGTCATGAGCTGGAGAGATGCTCAGAGGTCAGTAGTACTGGCTGCTCTTCCAGAGGACCTGGGTTCTATAACTCCAGTTCTAGGGCATCTGATGCCCATGTCTGACCTCCTTGACACCAAGCACACCATGGTGCACAGGTATACATGCAGACGTGCAAACCACCAATACACATACAAAATGAGATGAATTGAAAAACAGGCGGTCCATATTTGTGGGAAGATAAGGGTATATCTGACCACAGACTGGACATAGGAAGATGAATGCAATGCTTACAAGAAATTCCCTGCAGAGTGTTGAAGGGACTTGACTTGGGAAGCACCACCTCTTGTAAATGTCAAAGTGGTATTTTTGAGCAGCACAGGTGGGTATTGCAAACACCTTCCAGCACTCTGTGCTTGTCATTATCTGAAGAGGATTACCTCTTAATAATAAGTCGATACTCTGGGAACTATTACCTTTTAATAATAGGTTGATACTCTGTGAACTATTACTTTTAATAGTACATTGATACACACACACACACAAAAAAAACAACACTCCAAAAGCATTAAGAAACTGAGAAAGAAGAAATGCTTGGAAAGTAGTGTTTGTTACTATTGACAGTAAGATATAATTTCTCACCCCAAGAACAAATGTTAAAAATCACTGAACAAGAAAGAAAGGTTTTCCGCCTTCCAGCATTTGACTTGGGAAAAACATCCAAGAGCTCCTCTAGTGAAAGCAGTATGTTTTCTTGGATAGTTTATATTAAGACATTTG